TTAAAGTTATGATAAACTGAGAGTTTTCCTAAAGGTTTTGAAATAGGATTGTCATAATATATGTGTATAGATTGTCAATCTGCTTCAATCTCATATACTTTTTAACTCCTTATCTCTTCAACCTTATCTTAAAAAACAAAAACAAAACACAAAAACATCCTATCAAAACCAGGCCAGGAATTATAACCCTTCCCCACCAAGTGCCTTAATACCCGATGAATATTTCAACATTACGAGTTCACTATAGCCCAAACCAGTCAACTTCACGGTGTGCCTGTATTAAAGCCCGATCGTTAATAATTAAAAGCTCATCTAGTGGAAAATATTCAATATTTAGTCTCCCGGTTCAGCGCATGGGTAAATCGCAATTATGCCATAGCGGATTGCCTGCCTAGGTAAGTTTGGCTCAATTATATATATGGCTTGTTGAAATGATCGACTTAAAGATAAAGTTGAGTCATGGTCATGTGAATGAATCATGAAAGAAACAGTGCGGAATCGCTCAGAAAAAGTTGATCATGTAGCATATATTGTACATGTAAGTATTGGTGTACTGCAAGGTTCTTGATTCATCAAAATGATATTAGGCCCAGTTTTGGTAGAAGTAACAAGCACTGTACACAGAAAGATGTACTGTACTACACAAACATGTTGTATAAAAATGTGGGCCTCGTTTTTAAGCTGTTACTTGTTATATTTAGAATATGAATGCTTTTGAAGAGCCATGCTTTTCATGGAACATCTTTCTCTGATGTTCTTCCACACTTGCATAATAACAATGATAACACTCACAAATTATTTGTTTCACCTCTCCCCAGAACTCAACCTTCTCTTTAAAGACAGCATCGAGTATGACAAAGGTAAGTTTATGAGCTTGTGCCGTGGTCATAAATTTTACATCGATTCCACAGAGGGAAATATTAGAGGTAAGAGGGGTGAAAAGAAACGAATCTAACAATTATCTCTCGCGTATGCTTCAGAACAAGTACTTGCAAATATAAGTAATCTCACATATGACATTTGAAATTCAAATTGAAATTAAAACCTAATCCAATCTAATTCAGAAAGCAATTGTTCCAGCACCTATTCCTTGCATTCACAAAACACACTTCAAAATTAGTTCTACTACATGTACAGTACATGACGTTTATGGGCCACGTAAAAAATGACCAAACACTCATAATCCATGAAAATAATCGCATATTCTACATGAATAAAATATGCAAAACACAACAAAGAGTGGTTTTGAGTATCCATTTAAAGGGACAATATATTTCTCAGACTGGAAAGTCATTTTCTTTTTGCCCCCTCCTTTTCACTCGAAGATATTCCATGGATCTCATTGTGATTGTGGTTGTTTTATAGACAGTCTACATATGTAGCTAAAATGCAAATGCACTGTCGCCCATGAATTTGATCAACTTTTTCTTACCTTCTTTAAATAGAATGAGTGTGACACTATGGCTTTTTCTTGATAGATACAGTTTGTACATATAGTGAAACCTGTCTATAAAGACCACTCAAGGGAGACAAGAAAAGTGGTCTTTATGGGCAGGTGGACTTATGCAGAGCTGCCAACCTCTGAAACCAAAATCAGTAATCTGAAAGCTAAAAATCAGTAATTTTGGATGGAAATCAGTAATTTCAAGCGCGGCGCTTTCAACATCAAGAAGACTGCATTTGCACGTACATTGTAGAGCTGCACACAACACCACAACACAAACTACTAGTACCATGGTAATAGCATCACTCTGAATGACAGGACTTGAAGTAAAAACAAGAACATTCTGTTTATAACATCATTTTAAGTGCTATAAAAAAAACAATGGTTATTAGAGGATTGATGTATCATTACCCTGTTTCACTTACGTGTGTATATTCACTTCAGGTTTTTACAATTGCAATTTTACTGTCAGGGAAGGCATTTTTGACAAGTTGTGAAAGGTGGTCTGCTGCTGAAAACGCGATGTTGTGCTCTATCAAAAATTGAGTAAACTTCACTTCGGCGTTCGTGACAGAATTGTCCTTTGCGACGAAAAACTGGGCGATGTCATGACTGCGGGAATTGGAACTTGCCTCCGCCGCTGCAGTCCGGTGCTTCACCGACTTCAGATGTACCTGGATATCGTTCGAACCGCCATGACCAATTCCAAAATCGGATGAGCAATGTGTACAACAGGCACTGTTTGTATTCCTTTTCGACGGAACAATGCATGACCATTTCACCTGAGAAGGTTTGCAGTTTTTTAGAACGCTTCTTCGATGAAGTTGAAGTCATTTTTCTCCGTCGGTTACTCGAAGTTTGACGCGACCACGGCCGACCTGCTGCACATGCGGTAGTGTAACACTCGGCCAATGCATATTTCGCCCAGATAAATATCGTGCCACTTGTTTCAGCACATCCACCATGCATGCGCTTTCGTATCGGTCAAAACTTTGTGTGTCAGCTCATTCAAAATTTATTCGTGTATCATATTTTGTTATCAACAATGAAAAGGGGTATATGAATAAAATGAAATGAATAAACATGATCCAACAAATAATGTGAAATAAAACACAATGACAATAATTGTTGAATATAAATTCAAGTTTAATCAAGGAAGTACATTCATTTTCCTTATGACAATTATCATCATCATCATCATCATCATCATCATCATCTTCATCATTAGTTGAGTCGTACTTTTATTATCATAACAATGAGGGGAAAAAAATTGTAGACCTGCTATAAACTACACATGGACATGGTACCGTACGGGTTGGTTTGCAAGGTGGCTAAATGGACTTGGGACGAGTTTGCCGTCTCCCCGATATATATTGCATGCTGAAAGCTAGCACACGCAGCCCATATAGGCAGGGCGGTGTGCATATCTTTCGATGGTAGCTACATGTGTGTGCAGTGGTCGTGGCTGAGGCGCGGATGATATTTCCGTGCGCTCAAAAGTTAACCACCGGGCCGAGGCCCGGGAAGTATCGCGATCATTACCGCTAAAACACTCGCATATGCATAATGCATGTGTTAATACATAGGCATGTCCAGAAATCGGGGAATCCGTAATTTTTGAAGGGGTTTCCGTGCTTCCGTAATTGCCGTTGATTTCCGTACCAATTACGGAAAATCCGTACTAGTTGGCAGCCCTGCTTATGGATTCCTTTTAATAATATCACATGCTTAAATGAGAAACCATTTTCAAGGGAAACAAAAAATGTGTTTTTTGTAGACAGGTGTTCACTAAAGCATATAATTGACTGTAATTTGAATAACTTTTTCTTACCTGTTATCAATAGAATGATTGTGACACTATGGCTTATTCTAGATAGGCTTTATATCTTCTTAGAACTCCATTGATCAATCTCTATGACACTAAGCCTGGTCAATGAACAAAGTTCTGAGGAGATATAAACTACAGTCAAACCCGCTTTAGTGACCATCTGTATAGAAAGACCACCTGTCTACAAAGACCACCATTTTTGTTTCCCTTGAAAATGGTTTCTCATTGAAACCGCCTGCCTATAAAGACCACTTTTCTTGTCTCCCTTTGGGTGGTCTTTATAGACAGGTTTCACTGTATATCAATCAAGAATAAACCATATCAACCAAATCATTTCATAAATGAGGTAAAATAAATAGATACCTGTATATTCCAACTTTATATGACACAGTGAGTTATGATCGTTTGGAGCCATAAGTGCATTAACTCTGTGTAAGAACACACCCATCTAGCTCCAAACAGATGACATTTCGATGGAAACCATCGTCCTGACCATTAAAACGCGATACACGTTTTGAAACGATGATGAACATTCTGGGAATCTGGCCAAAGGTGTGCAAATCAATGGAAGAACCTTGAAGAAACTCTCAAGTGGAAACTGAATAATTGATCAAAACCAATCAATTTCATCATCTGATGAACTTTAAGATATATAGGCCTTCGTATTGAAGGGTTCCTCAGCTGTCTTCAATTGATCTGATTAAAGGTACAGATCAGCGAAAAAAAAACAATTTGTGTACAGCCTGTAGGTATATCAAAAAATCTATTAAAAATACAGGAAATTTTCATTGGCTAGGGCAATCATGACTGGAAAAAAATGTAGTTTAGGCTTGTATCAAGCTTAACGTTAGTAGGCAAGCTTTAGCTTGTTTGAAGCTTAAACGTTAGTAGGCAAGTCAGATATTATTCTTTCCCAGTTTATTGCTGTCTACTACTTCAAGATTGCCAAATAATATTTACCCAGCCTTCTACAGTTTGAATGTTACAGAGTATTTAGAAATGAAAGAATGACAATAAAAAATCCTGCACACAGAACCCAATTTAGGTTAAGATTGCGGCACTTTATATTACTACAGTTAATATTATTGTCTTCATATTAGCTATATTTAAGCTTTATACACCTTTCTTGGCTTCCTACATGTACTTGCATCCTTTTCTATGTTAAAAGCTAGCACATGGTAACCCTGTACGACTGGATTCTGTGTGCATACATTTTTTGTTGTTCATACTACTTATCCATTATCTTATAAAACGGCTGTTTTTTTTTCTTCCTTTCCCTTTTTTTTCTTTCTTTCTTATTCTTCTTTCTTTCTTCCTTTTATCTTTATTTCTTTCTATCCTTTTTTTCTTCTCATTCTTTCTGTCATTATGTCTTTTCCTTCTAAAGACTTGTCCTTCTTTCTTTCATTCAGGTTTTATTTTCTTATTAAAGACTTTCTTTTAATTTCATACAAACATTACTACAGGTATACTATAGATACACAAATCACTTTGACCTGTGGAATGACATGTCGGATTAACTGGTAACATTCCATTTAACACAAGATTTTTCTATAAACAAACCATCTGTTTTTTCTTTTAGTTCATCTACACCCACATTTAATGTAGCTGTGCAAAAGTCACCTGCAATGGTACAGTGACTTACATGTACACAGTTCTAATACTACAAACAATCACAAATCTTCTTAATACTTGTATTTCTTTACCACAATAACAACATCGCCTTACCTTAAACTTGATTGGTGTACGAACACCGGTGACTGGGTCCTCCCACCGTTCTTCGCCCCCCTCTCTCCTAACGAGGCCGAACGATTTAAGATCGGCCATTTCTGCTCCTGGTCCGAGTTCCTGAAGCCCGTGGTCCCCTCGTCATCGTCGTAGTCCGGCTTGGACCCCCCGAAGCAGTAACACATTCCACAGAAAAAAGTGGCTAGGACTAGGACTACCAGAGAGGCCGTTGAGGTGAGTAAGGTGACGACTTGGTGAATGACTGTTGGTAGAAGAAAAATCAAACAGAAGGATTTGATTAAGATTATGACTAAGTGGATGATATAAACAGGAAGATTGGATAAAAGACTACAAGGCCCGTCTCCATCAGCTCGATTTTACCGATTTTACCAAACAACCGCTATTTTCAGACTTGGACATCATCCCGAAGCCCTATTAAATTGCGATTTCACCAGACCGATACGCTCATCACAAAGTAGCTTGGACTAGGCGCAAATTAGCCCACCATTTCCCAAATACATGTAGGGGGATATTTTTTAACAAGACCAATATTTCTTGGGATATTTTCTCTACCAAATGTCCTGCTTATTGCAACAGCAGACTGATGAAGACGCAAATCAACTGGCTAATTTGTGACCGGGATAGTCAAAATAGCCGGTTATTTGGCAAACTCGAGCTGATGAGGACAAGCCTTATGACTACATGTAGTTGAATGACTTTGGATAGACTAAATAAAAACAAAAGATTTGTTAAAGACTACCGGGTATCACTTCATAGTGATTGATTAAGGATCGAAACAAGTAAAAGAAAATAAAAGAATTGAAAGACTATGACTTGACAAATGAATGTTGATATAAATTAAGATTACATGTATAAAGGAAATGAAATTTGATAAACGTTACGCAGTTAATTACTCTCGATTAAAACAAATACAAAAATGAAGAACCAAATATGACTGAGTACAGTATGAAAGAGAAACCAATTATAACAGGAAGTTTAGTAGTCATTTCAAATAATGACAAGTTTAATCATGATAACTATTTACATGTAATTGTTTGCTAATAATCATATAAAAAAGAAAAGGGAACAAATAATAATACTTCAATTCAAAACACCCTCAAAAGGCTCTTGTTGCTGCTGCTGCCCCGGCTGTCGTTGTTGTTTTATTTTGTTCATTTTTACTAATTTTAAGATTAATAGGAAAATACATGTACTTTATGTTCTGAAATCAAGTTACCCGACAAAGCACTACTACACACAAAGACACACTACATGCCAACCATGTAGGAATATTTAATGTCCTTCATAATTATAATTATTGTCCTTCATATTTATTATTATAATTTTTTAAAACACTGTAGAAAACAGGGAATCATACAGGTATCTAAAACAGTTGGTGTAATCCCCCAATACGGTAACCATGACTTAATTCATAATCAATGATTTAATTTCTGGTAATCTAACTCCATAACGATGGCTCACAATATATCCTCTGTTTGGAGCCTGAAGGGCATTAACTGATACATTTTTAATAAATTAATATATAGTTTAATAACGCATTTCTGGCTATAAAGAATTGACATTGTTCTAGAAACCCGATTCCATGAATGATTTATCGATTTCTCACTTTCTCCCGAGATGCGCATTAATTAAAATTTATGGTCAATAAAAAATGAGTAAATGCAGAACGCAATAAGGTGGAACGGTCAGTATCTATGGCAGTAAGACTCGCTTTGGTTGAAAATCAATTGTACAAATATCGGCTACAATTTTGCATTTAATATAGAATGATGCACAGTTTAATAATGATATCGGCCACTCATGTATGTACAGTACATGCATTGTTTGGGCAGCTATGCAATCGACTACAACTAAGATCTTTAAATAATTCAATTGCAATTTGATTGTATTTGTAAATTCTACATTTGAACAGGTGTACTGAAACAACAATACTGCAAAGTTTACAAAGGCTAATTTTACTTAAATTTTATTGGAGATATTTACATAGGCATATAGTTAACAACTTAAATTTCATACCTTATACATGTACTGGTAAATCAAGTTTTATAATTGTTTAAGTACATGTGTATGTGAACAATTTATTTGTCCCAATTTATGTTTCCGCTTTCTTGAGAATAGTGCATTAAAGCCCAACTGTACTACTTGTAGCTACTTGCTCCCTCTATGCAATAAAGCGGTGACTATTGGTCCCCCATGGTCCCCTTTTTCTTATGTTAATTGAGAGCTGAGTTGATGAGATTGTCAGTGACCACACTGGTCTAATCCCCCTGGCCAAACTAGTGCAGACAGGCTTTAAAGAGATTGGGTAAATTTGCCTCAGATTCTTAAAAAAGTCCTGGATTCACCGGTAGCTCATGCTGCACTCATAATTATAAACCTCTAGGTCAGTCAGGCACCCCATGACATACATGTAAGAGGGCCAACAGTAGATTCTTAATGGGTGTGTGCAGAAGATGCCCCTGTCAGGCCTCTGTCATTATTAAGCCCTGACATTAAACTTGCTCATGAAAATGCAATGTTGCTCCCGTATAATCAATCATGGTATCCCATCAAACGAAAAAATCTACTGCTACAAATTGATGTCCTTGATATCTTTTTACAGGCCTTTCTCTCCCAAAGGAACATCATCCTATGTTCATTTAGTTCGGTTCCAAGGTTTAATCCATTCATTGTCTTTTGCGAAAACCGGATATTGTACATTTAACGTTTTCCCTTATGTGTGAAAGTCCCATAGTAGCATGATCTGATGTACATGTACTGTACTGTAGCTGGCAGAGTGCACAAATTAGTGCACAAAAAAGAGAGAAATATTTGTATTGGGTATGGAGATTTGTTACGTCTTTTTCTTTCTCCATAGAAATCACAGAAATCAGACATAACATGAACCGAACGAAAAATCCAACCTAAAATCCAGTAACCCGAGTCATAGTACATGTAGGATCCCTCGTTCATCTAATCATAGTAGCAGTGGTCCATTCTCTAAGATACATGTAGGTTAACTCTGCACCACCATATAGAGCCCCCTTTTGTCTCCCCCCCCCCCCCCCCCCCTTATCCCAAGACTTTAGACTTTAGAGAACCTGCCCAAAGACCTTCCTAGACCTATCAAAAAACTAAACCACAGACCTATAAATCTGATCAGTAACCCTTCATTTCCTAATTACCGGTAGGGACATGTTTACATTCTCCACCTCAGTGTAGCCACCTCACGGGCCCCCATAAAGGTACTTTGTCCCATTTGCAGGCCCAAAAAATGAAAAAGTTAAATTCCAACTGCATTTGAAAGATAATACTAATTTAGAACTTCCCTACAAAAGGTGGGGCTTGAAAATGTCTTCAAGTGGGAAAATAATGACTATTAGTTGTCAAATCGACTTTAGGGCTATAGAGCCCAAAAGTAATAGTCTTGATTTTCAGACAATTGTACCGAATGGTCATACGTTTTATGCTGCGCAAAGATTCAATCAGTTTAATCTTGGCCATCACAAGAAGTGGGTTATTGATGTAGACAAATGCTCATGTACCCTTTACAACTCTTTTCATGTTACCAAAGAAGAAAAAAAGCCAGTCCGTCACTCAATAGTGTCTGGCAGTGAAGTCTAGCAAGTAAACGGGTTTTGTTGCATAATTTGAATATGAGGACACTGCTGACGTTTAAATTTCACAGATAGGACATATACATGTATGACATATTCATAATTCCTGCAAAGTTCTACAGAATTTGAGGTTGGCTGCAAAAGGGACATAGTACCTTTAAGACTCTGGGAACCTGTACTACATGTATGCTATTATCAAAAAAATAAATCACAGACCTATAAAGCAATCACAAAACCTTACCTAAAACCAAATTGATGGAGAAAAATATCCGATCAGTATCCCTTCATTTTCTAATTAGGGACATGTTTAGATTCTCCACCTCAACGGTAGCCACCTCACGGGCCCCTTGGACTTTGAGGTACTGTCCGATGAATTAATAACTAATATTCCCATCTCCTTCACACCCACACACCAGAGTATAGGTACTCCCAGGAAATGGTTCCAGGCATCATGAATAATGATCGCCATGCCAACGATGATAGTTCCATTATCGGCGCTACGGGCTATCCTTGAGATACAATGGAGGGAAACATGTTTGAAATGATGCACAGTCTAACTTTAGGCATGCGATGGATGGATGTCGCAGAATTGATTTCAAATTGATCAGATTTGAGGCAAGGTTCAATCCACCCCCATCCTCCCCCCCCCCCACAAAAAAAAAATTGTGTAGAGTTTCATGTCATTTTTTAATTCAAAAGACACTTGAGATAATGTAGTCTAACTTTAGACACTATAGAAATGTCCAAGGACAAAATTCAAACTTAACAGTTTCACTTTAGGCACTACTGTATTAAAATGACCAAGGACGAAATTCAAACTAAACAGTTTCACTTTAGGCACTACTGTAATGTCCGAGGACGAAATTCAAACTGAACTGAACAGATTTCAAGCTTTTAGAAAAGGAAAACACAGGCTATATTTAACTAGGCTATACTTGAAATAGATTGAAATACGAGCTTGGAAAAATGCAGTCCAACTTCAGGCATTCATGTAATGTTGCAGGATTAAAAAATAACATTGATTAGATTAGAGGCAAGGTTCAGCCTCCCCCCCCCCCCCCCCCAAACAACAACAAAAATTGTCTGGAGTTTAAAGGTACATGTACATGTATAACACACAAACTAACAAGAAAAAAGAAAACAACTACAAACTATCCTTGAGTAGACTAGAGGGGTACAAATAGTGTACATACACATGTAGGTGGGTGAGAGATCAGGAGGGGAGAGAGAACATTCATGGCAGAAGGAAATGAAATGCATGAACAAATATTTGGACTGGTTAAGATGGAGAAAAAGATGGAGAAAAAGAGAGAGAAAAAAAAGAGAGAGAGGGAGAGAGAGAGAGAGAGAGAGAGAGAGGGGAAGGGGAGATTGTGAGGTAATTATGTGTTGGATAGGGAGGAGGGGAGAGAAACACCAATGAATGGTGTAAATGTAGGAGACACAAAGTGTCACAGAAAGGGGGAGAGAGAATGGGGGAGAGAGAAAGAGAGAAGAGAGAGAAAGAGAGAAGGAGAGAGAGAAAGAGAGAAAGAGAGAGAGAGAGATATAGAGAGAGAGATAGAGAATATGGAGAGAGAAAAAAGAGGGGCAGGGGTAGAGGGGTAGAGAGGGAAAGAGGGAGGGAAAGAGGGAGGGAGGAAGG